GTTATTTTTTAAAATCACCCTCTTCCTTTTAATATATTTTACCGCATTAAAATCTGGCAAGGCTATCGCATTAAAGGAAAAATTGCCTTGCCCATAACCAGTTTCAAACCTTCCTAGGCCATCAATTTCTCCCTTTTCTTCATTTTCCGAAAATTCTTTATCAAATATATTATAAACGGATGTAAAATACAGAAGCGATGTAACAAAATGGCTAAATTTAGGTTACAGCTAGCCATCCGTCAGCATCTAGGGTTCTAGCATGGTTACCTTCAAGCTCAAAAAACATTTTAACATACATTGCCCGGGGAGATAATTATAGACCCGCCTCCTTCTTTCCAAATGGTTTGGTTAAATCAAAAGTGTTGGTATCTAAACGATGTGTAGAAGGCTGTAGAATGCAGAAGGGGTGTCAAAGGATGGCTAAGCGGATCAGTTTGGGTTACAGCTGGCCATCAGTCAGCTCCTAGGGTTCTAGAATGGTTGCCTTCAAATTTCAAAAGCATTTTGATACGCATTGACCTGGGGAAGATGATTAAAGACCCGCGTCCTTCTTTCCAAACGGTTTCATTAAAGCAAAAGTGATAGTATCTAAAGAATGTACAGAAGGATGTAGAATGCGGAAGGGGTATCAAAAGATGGCTAAGCGGATCAGTTTGCGTTACAGCTGGCCATCAGTCAGCACCTGAGGTTCTAGCATGGTTGCCTTCAAGTTCAAAAAGCATTTTAACACGCATTGACCTGGGGAAGATGATTATAGACCCGCCTCCTTCTTTCCAAATGGTTTGGTTGAACCAAAAGTGCTGGTATCTAAAGAATGTGCAGAAGGATGTAGAATGCAGAAGGGGTGTCAAAGGATGGCTAAGCGGATCAGTTTGGGTTATAGCTGGCCATCAGTCAGCACCTAGGGTTCTAGAATGGTTGCCTTCAAGCTCAAAAAGCATTTTGACACGCATTGACCTGGGGAAGATGATTATAGACCCGCGTCCTTCTTTCCAAATGGTTTGATTGAACCAAAAATGCTGGTACCTAAAGAATGTGCAGAAGGATGTAGAATGTAGAATGCCAAAGGATGGCTAAGCGGCTAAGTTGTCTTATAACTGGCCATCAGTCAGCACCTGGGGGTCTAGAATGATTGCCTTCAAGCTCCCCAAAAGCACTTGACACGCACTGACCTGGGGAAGATGACAATAGACCCGCGTCCTTTTTTCCAACCAGCCTTGTTGAACCATAGTGTTGGTATCTAAAGAATGGAGGTGCTGGGTGGAAACACGGAGGTACATCATTGCAGGTTTCTCATCACAATTTGGCCTGGCATTTGCATTTTCCAAACAACATTGGCATTGTGTGGGAGGTTGAGCTGAAGGTAATGGTGAGGCTTGTTTTTTTTTATTTGTGGATGTTGCCGGATATAAATCAATACCTTGTTGATCATTGCACATTGCTGCAGCTGCTCAACACCGTCTGAGCTCCTTTTTTCAGAAATTTCAAACCAAGCGACATTGAAACCACCTGGTTTTGAAAGTGGAAATCTTGATCGACCAAAACCAGGGATGCTAATTCCAAGCATGTTTTGCACCTTCGTGCAAAGACCTCATCATGATTTGGTTCCTTTTTCTGCACTCCAAAATAATGACCTTTCTTGTGGTCTGTTGGAATCAATTCATACCACAACAACGCTCATATATCCAGACTTTCAGGGTTCTAAAATCATAGCCGTTAAAGGTTCTAAAATCATAGTGGTGATGATTTTAGAACCCTCAACGGGAACCCCAGGGGGGGAGGGATTCTAGACACCTCGATCTTGAGGGTATGAAATATCAACGTAATTATATATTAAATTTTCCAAATTTTTGTGTATAGGCAAGGAAATGATAAATTCGATTGTATTTCCGAACAAAAACATTGTAGATAGTCAAGATTTATGTATATTTTATTGTTCAAAACAATATTACACACGGACAACATATCTAAATATAAATCAATTATCAATTATTTGGAGAATCAATGATATGCGTTCGAAATCAATTATATACTATAGTAAGTGAAAAGGCTCAATTTGTTGCTCTTTTTTCAGGGATTTGATTGGGTAGCTTGTAATTCTAAGGCTTCTGGTCGTCTGGCGCTCTCAGATTGAGATGAACGAGCAAGCTCCCTTCCACAACCTGGGGAGCGTTCAAGACATCTCTGGGCCTCTTGAGCGTTGTGACCTTCGATTTCGATTGTAAAGTGGCCAAAAAAAGGATGCTACTCCGGGCTACTCCTCCAATCTTTCCAGGAAGTCAGGTCCATGTCAATCCATTCTGATAACAGCAGCAGAGTTTCCTTGTTTGGGGGAGAGATTTCCATGGCAGTCCATGCCCATCCAAGAATATCCAAGAATACCACCAGCCTCTTACCATCTACAAATGTACCATCCTTGTTGGATACCGGTATACCTCATGCAATTCCCACACTCCGTTCTTGGACATTGGGTCTGTGTCAAGCTTGAGTACCATCAAACAAATGTTTCATCCACATGCTAAACGCGGCCAATCCCTTTTTACCATAGCAAAATTCAACAGTATTATATATATATATGTATACATACATGCAAAGGAATCATCAACCAGAAATCAGATAATCCTCTTACTAGTGCTATGTTCTAGTCTTGCTGTTTAGACTATAATTTAGACAAAAGAACCGCAGCAACTGCTTCTTTGTTTACGTCCTCTTGGGTCCGCATTCGATTTCGACCCCCAACCAAGGTGAATTAGGCAGATGATATTCCGTACAGATCCGTAAAGTATGACTGGTTGGTGGCTGACACCCCTAAACAAAACAGGCAAATCAAACCACTCACCTTTCCCCGGATGGCTAAATTCCTATCTTTCTTTGAATTCCAAGGGTAAGTAGCGAAGCATTGTTGTTTTTTTACAAATCGTGATTCATGATATATATATATTATATATATATATATTTTATATATATATATATATTATATATTATATATATTATATATATTATATATATTATATATATTATATATATTATATATATATATATTATATATATTATATATATATATATATTATATTATATATATTATATATTATATATATATAATATATATATATATTATATATTCTATATATATATATATTATATATATATATTATAAATTATATATATTATATATATATTGTATATATATATATATGTCTTTTCTTTTTTTGTTGTTTACCGACTTAGCAATGCTCTTTGCATCGGTCTAATCCTCTTAAACTGATCGGTGTCTCGGAGTTCCCGGTCCATGGCGTAGAATAACCCACAGATAGACAAATAAACATATAATGTTGACAGATAGATAGATGGATGTTCGGATGGAGGGATGGATGGGTAGATAGATAATTAAATAGATAGCTAGTTTCGATCAAATTATGATAGAGAATAACAAACCGTTTTTGATCAATCATATCCCTGACATTTTAGATGGTTAGAATTATGATTCAACCCCCATCAAATACAGTAACGAAGCAACAAGGTTATCTTTCTTGAAAATATTATTGGTCAAAGGTATCCCATAAAATATGCCGATATCAACCCCATAATATTCCCTGAAGATGGTTAAACAATAGAGTGCGGGACGTTGTGGGTCCCCAGTTTTTACGTCATTTTTAGCTGTTTTTTGTTATTTTTAATGCATTTATTTTATTTCTTCAAATAAATTCTTACTGATTAAGTATGGTTCTAGATATGACAAAGTTTATTCTAAGTTCATCAAGTTAAGACATAATATGAACATTTTTATTAAAATTATATACTGCGGCACATACCCTAAATCGCATTTGAATTCAAATAATGACGAAACAAAATCTATGCTACATATTGGGGATGCCAAAGCAAAGGAGTGTCAAAGGAAAGGGATCTCAAAGCCAATGGTATGTCACTGCAATGGGATGGCAGAGCAATATAGAGAATGCTAGTCGATAGAGTGGAGGCCAGTGCGATAGAAGTGGAGATATGACAGTGCCTTAGAGAATCAAATATGATATGGTTGCAGGAGTCTTGAAAGGAAGATCACGAAAAGAAAGATGAGCTGAACACCAGCTGCAAGCCACCTGATGAAACAAAGGCCAAGAAAAAGAGGACCAAGGCATGAAGGTTCAGAAAGTACCAAATGGAAAGAAGAAATTTCGTACCCAGACTCCGAAACGTTAATGTCAATCTATGTTTTTTTCCGGTGCTTCATTTTGCTTCTCTGATTTATGGAAATCCATTATTTGGATGTTACAAGGGGTTGCGTCTTAGCAGTTCTAGGTTATACATATTTAAACAATATGTGTATTCACATGGACAATTTCTTGTATGGCGTGTTGCAATCTATTGCTGATTATGGCATTGAGACGTGGAAGATTTCATGAGCAAGCAGTAACGATTCAGTGCGTGCATCTTCTCTTTTTTGTCCGACGAGCGAGACAGCTGTGAGAGATTTTGAAGCGGAACCGCTCTGGCACCTTTGATTTGATGCATTGCACCAACGAATGACGGAATTGCAAAATGATGGCGGAAGAGTTTGGGTTTGGGAAGATGTTGGAAATATCTTCTAGTCCACATCATCAAATCATTTCTGTGCGGGTCTCTTCAAGACGGCTTGCTTCTTGACCCTACACTTATATTTGCGGCTGGCTGGCTTCTGCAGCACGCCGGCTCGCTTCAAAGTGGACTTACGGGCAGACCAAGGATTGAGGTGCTGCATGTCATCTAATTTTTGCAAATGATTGTGTCGACGCGAGTAAGCCAACACATAGAATCTTTGGTGTTTCGCGTTCATGGAGTTGAATGTGGAGCTGTACCCACGGAACCACGAAAACACCTGTTCAGAAATCGATGCGTTGACTCTTTTCAGTCGCTTATCGATTGCTGGCACCACAGACGGGGAACATTTACATTTGTTGCAATGTCCCTTTGCGTGGAATTTGTCTACACACCAGAACTTGACAGGCTTCAAATCCTGTGTGTTCTTAGCCTTCTTTCTTCTTGAAGATGCTACAGGCTCGATCGTAGAGTACTGCATCCACTTTGGGATAATGCGGTAGCAAATTTTGCACAAGATTGAGCGCAACATCCGAATTCTCTGGATCTTTCATCTCAAAAAGGCCTAGGATGACTCCGGTCCCAGGGTGTGTCGCCATGAACCAGCCGTTGTAGAACAATTTGACATGGCCATCCTTCCGAGGACGACCACCGCGAGCTGGTGCTTCATGATAGCACTTTGTGGCGATCTTCTCGTGGCCATCGACAGCGATCTCTTTGACAGACTGCGACATGCGATGGGGAGTTTCGATGGTTTGCCACCATCGGTGGAAGTCCCGAAGATGCCCTTCATGCACAGGATCATCTACGCGAATTGTGCGAAGTTTCTGAATGGAAGTGCTTGGCATAGTGGATTTCCACATGACCGACAGTTCGCTCATGACATTCCAGAGAAGACCTTGTTTGTAATGCTGCAGAACAATGCATATATATTCCTACATATTGATTGTTTCATCATGACAGACTCGTTCCAAACACAGTGGAGAAACTGATAATATACACATAGGGCTACCAATAGTATTAAGTAATTGCTCAACAGAAAACAATAATGATATATATATATATATGAATATTCTCTTACATACATATACGAAAATTAAATATATATATATATATGTACTGCATCAGACTGGTTAATAGATTGAAGCAAAATTTTTCATCCATACCAAGAGACGAGCCAATGCATAGTCCTTGTGAAATCGAGCATGTGCATGGTCATCTGCCCATAATGCGTTCGTTTGGGACCAGGCGATGGCGTGCTTGCTCAAGTAGCCTCTGAATTGCAGGGCATCGTGATAAGCAAGGAAGGAGACGTGGAACCCGGTGTTGGCGGTCACGAAGATATACTCGGCCTGGTTGGGATCGAGCGAATTGGTCTTGATGCCGTTGCTCCACACGAAGTTGTAGTAGTGGGAGGCTTGGCATGACTTCTGTCCACATCGCATAGGCTGGTGCAGGACAGTCTCGGGACCTTCGAGTCTATAAATGCCGTAGAGAACTGTTTGCGCTTGGGATATAGACAAGATCCACACAGAGCACAATTCTTGAGGGGTGTTCGCACGGACTTCACTGTGGAGGATCCATCCGCACGGCCACGACCTTGCAAGTGATATGCCTCTGACATCGACATTTCCGTCTTCAAGTGCATCTGTTTCAGTTCGAAGAAAGTCGTCTTCAAGTGCATCTGTTTCAGTTCGAAGAAAGTCAATGCATCAGATTTTTCCAAAGCAGATGCAAAGGTTTCCCATCGAGCAGTCACTTCGAAAGAAGGAATCTCAGAATCAAATAGCCTTGCCTCATCCTCAATCATCACAAAGGACCACCAGTGTCCTTGACATTCTCCAGAACGTTCATGACAAAGGATCGGGTGCGCTGGGACAACGGAGAGCAACTCATCCTTGGGGATGCAATGCAATTGCCAAGCAGTGTCGGCTGCAGAGTCTGCATCTGCCAAAGCTTCATTGAATTGATGAGCGGAAAGCGAGGACTCTGGCTTGTCTTGCAAAACTTGGCGCAAACTACTGAGATCAACATGAGGTGCAACACCTTGAACAGCAAAGAGCAAACAGTTTGCCGGAGTGGAAGGAATTTCGACTTCCATCATGTTCACGATGTTCTTGCACACCAACATATGCAAGAAAGTCTTCATACTTTGCGGCTCACTTTTGATCTCGACGGGGATGATGTTGTGGGAAGTTTCTGCGCAAGCACGATGCAACCAAAAGAGATCTTGCACAGATGTGCACGACACAATGCCTCCGTCAAAGAGAGCAACCTCCATTTTCACATGCGCATGGGTCCGAATGGTGTCCAATAGGTCAGCTTCATCGAATGATAGCAAAGAACAAAGCCGACTGAATTCAGGATGTCTGCGATCATTGTACAAATCAGAAAGATGAGTATGTCTGTGATCTTGTAGAATCAGATGAGCAGCTGCCTGAACTTCTTCCCCAAGCTTGCGGAGCCATGGAATATCGAAACGCGAGTTGCCACCGTAGAAGATGCGGATAAGTTCCTTTTTTGCCTCCTGGACATCAATGCAAAGATACTGAGCCAAAACTGACCGCCATGACTTGTAGTTCTCACAGAAGAGACGAAGCATCTGGAAACTACCTGCCTCGTCCAATCCCATATCTCGAAGTTTTCGCAAGAGAAGACGAGGATGGCAACAAGCTGCATCAATCTCAATGGCATGGGGGAAGGCTTTTCCACGAGCTTCTCGAGTGAGTTTTTGTGCAGCAGGGCCACGAGCAAGTAAACGACCATAATTGGGGGCCTTGTAGTACTCGACAGAGATAGTAGAAAAGCGCCCCACGCGAACTCCTTCAGAAGCATGACGATCAACATAGGCCCGAAGCTGCGAAGTCCTTCTGTCTGAGCCACTTTCCAAGTAGGCTTGCAAAGCCTCCAAGTCCACTGTTTCCTGCAATGTTGCTACAGTCGGCCGGATTTGAGATGAGAGACTTCCGTGATGAGTGACATTTCCTTGACATTCATTTTGCAAGTCCACAAAGAGATTTGACTCCCATTCTTGCTGCAGATGCCGCAGATCAAAGGTGCAGCCCCAATCTTTCCACTGACCGAAAGCAAGCGCACCACCATGAGCATCCATAGCTGCAGCCAAAGAAGCCCAATCCACCAAGAGTTTCTCGACAGCATGCTGATCATGTTGACGAAAGAGTTTGATGGTGGAGTGGTCCAAGGCAGAAAGAAAGAACTGCAACTTGGTTCGTCGACCACGGGTAGACTGCACAGCTCCTGGAATATCTTCAACCTTTGAAATGACATACTCCTTGATGAATGTCTTCATGGGCGTTTTCCGATGCACGATCGTGATCAATTCGTCGTTCTCTGTCTGGAGGTCAATATCTGTGCCTGGAGGAGGGCCATTCCAGCCGGACAAGCGAGAAGCCAACCAATTGGTGTCGTTGACCAAGTCCTCATGTACATGGCTAAGATCCAGGATCATTTTCAAACATTCATCCAAAGAGTTTTCCTGAAAGAAGGGCAAGCACCAATCTCGAAAGAAACATGAAGCCGTTGCAGGATGTGTCAAGAAAGGGACCAGCTCATCTTGCGGAATGAGACGGAAAACCCCGTGTTCATAGTTCACTGCATGGTCGTCAAGCACGAAGCGAGCCTTCCCCATACGAAAGCAAACGATGCGACGCTTGAGATGCTCACAAGCCTGGAGTCGATCTCGACACTCCTCGATGGTCGGGATGTTCTCAAAGTTGAGTTCCTGAACTTTCATAGATGACCCAAATCGTCGTTTGGATGTAAATCCATAATTGACACGACAATCTATTTCTTCATCGACGATGAATCTTTTCCAAAGATCTGCAACGAATCTTGCGTGCTGATCCATTTCCTGGATACGCACATTCGCCTTGTTCCATGCGAACTCGGCAGACTTGCGGAACTCCTGTCGATCCAAGAACACGCCACAATCCAAAGTTGCAGATTGATCTTCACCTAATACAGCACGATCAAGATAAGCTTCCATCCCCTTGCCATCGCCGCCTTTGCCAATCTCGAAGATCATCTTTGAAGTGCAAGCCTTTTTGAATGCGGCATGTAAAAAACAAAGTTTCACTTGAAAGATATGTTCGTTCTGAAAGTAGAGCGACTCCAAGAACAAACGTAATCCTTCTTGATGCTGTTGGAGATTGATGTTCGGATACTCCTGCAAGAGGTTTTCTATGTAGAAGGCATAGTCCACATGCATGTAGCAGTCATTGGACGGGCTTTTGCTTGCAGGTTTCCAATCTGCATCCAAGTACACGTCTCTGAAGCAAACACCCTGTGACTTTGGCAATGGAGTATCCCATTCAAGAAGAAAAAGCTTTGAGAGTGACTGGACCTTGTTCGAATCCCAATTCACTCGGAATGAAGCTAGCATGTCTGCACATCGACGAAGCCAAAGTGCTTTCCATGCCTTGTTGGATGTGACTTGCCGCAGATGGTCACTTGCTTCTTTGGCCACATTCCCGAAGAAATGGAGAGCGTCATGGACATGTCCTTGGATCGTATCAGAGACAACATCCCGAATAGCATTCCAATTCCATGCTGGTCTTGCATCTCCTTCTTGATCTTCGAAGTGCTCCGAGACGGTCAACAACAAACCTTCAACAGCAAGAAATAGATCCCAGACTTCGATGGTGAGAGACGGCTTCATCTTCCACACACCATTCTCATAGTAGAACATTTGACGATCATGTGCACGCCAATGTTCACCAGCAACAAGCATAATGAGAAGAAGCTTCTGCTTCGTCGACATTTGGTAGTTGGAAACATTCATGGATGCGATGCAGTTCATGAGCTCCATCATTGTGCGAACATGGACAGGAAGATTTGGATAATTGTTGCTACCCCATGTGCGATAGTTCTTCCATACATCCAAGAGTGATTTGGCTTGTTCAGGTCGAACATCAGGAGGAGGAGGAGCGAGATGGGCAGAGCGCTGCACATCGGAAAACGCACGGAACCTGAAAGAAAAGCAGGAGACAACTCAAGTCTATGAAGCGGTATGCCACAGCCATATGAACAACATGAAATACGAAACTGTATGGCTAGAGAAATCCGAATACTGGAAAGCTGGAAACATACGTCCGAGAAACAGATCACGACCACGTAGACGCTTCGCAGGAGGCGCATCGATTTCGGGCGGTTGCACTTCGGGCGATGAGGCTTGGAGATGTGCTCCATCCGGATAGTCGGCGTCCATCGCCATCTCGATCTCTTGAGTCAACCCCACTGACTCAGACATGAGCAACGATGGACGCACAAAAGACAAAACTTAGGAAGTTCGTGAGCTGGTCAGGCGTGCTGCGGGAGAGTAAACATATGAAACACAAACATGATCGACGAGACTGTCGAAGTTCATGCGCACATAAGTAATATGCGGACCAATACTTGACAGGCAAAGATGAATGCTGACAGTCGAGAACACTCGAAAGACAACATCTAACACAAATCAAAAATGCGGCTGCCAATGTTGACATGCAATGATGAATGCAGAGTTTCGAGAATGTTTGGAAGACAACATGCAACGCAAGACAGAGTGCACGTAATTTCTTTTCCGACCATCCAAGTCCAATCGCTAGCACGGAGAGACATATGCTGATACGTCTTTCCATGACGTGTTCATAAATGTGGCATCACTGGAACAATCGCCCGAGACGATCAAGTCCATACTAATTGCAAGAAAAGAAGATTGGCATTGATCCATTCACTATCTGTACAGTCATCAGCGGGATCAGGTAACATCGGACGAAAACGAGCATGCTCATCGACCTCGAATGGGCAAAGTCGACGAACGATGCGGTGAAGATCTTGCCGACGGCCTTCTTCGTCACAGACTTGGATGGAACGTAACAGCTCTCTGGCTCGTTGCATTTGTCGTTCCCAGATGTTCTTTGGCACGATGTCATCGACGCGAGGGATGAAAGGTTGAACATTGGCATAGCGCAGAATGATCTCGTCATATTTCCGCACCATCCCATCTCGCGCCATTGTCCTCTTCATGGAACGCTGGGTATCGGAAAGCATAGGAGGTGGTCCAGAGGCCATTGCTTCGAAGAATCTTTTACACAAGTTTATAGAGCGAGCGATATGCAGAGCCAGACTGCACATGAGAAAGCACAGTCAGAATCAACAAACAGCATGAGTGGAAGCTGGCAGTGTGACAAGCGATCCGGAATTTGTTGCAGCTGAACTACAGATTAGAAGTATCGTGAATATAATTCTATTTATTGGCGTTTTATAGATATTGTTATTTAATTTTTTTGACCTTTTGCAGAATATGGATCGTGATCCTTATTTGGTTGAACATTCAAGTATGATTGCATGCATGATGGCCCAGGGAGCCAACTAGAGACAAATGACTTTTCTAGCAGACAAGATACCCTAGAGAGTTGCCAAGAGACAGATGCACGTGTAACGGACAAGGATGAGGCTGAAGACTCAATGGCTTAAAGAGCCTCCAAGGTACAGACGAGTGTGCAGCAAACATGATAGCCCAGAGAGTTATCTGGAGACAGACAACATTGTAATAGACAAAATAGCCCAGAGAGGCACCTAGAGACAGATGACATTGCTTGAGGTAAGATAGCCCAGAGAGCCATCCAGATTTTTTATCATCTTATTCTTCGTGTTCCCTTTATACCTATTCTCCTTTTGTTTTCTTGTCAAGGCCATGGGATATCGAAGCAATGGAGGGGATCCCAGTCTGCTTACTATGGGGCAGAGACCAATCAAACAGAATAGGAGACAGGACAGTGTCTCCCTAGATGGGCTATCTTGGTGGCTCTAGGTGGCTCTCTGGGCCATCTTGCCTGCTACAGCCTCGTATGGTATTCTTATGGGATTTCCAGTGGGTTCTTATGGGATTTCTATGGTATGTCTATGATATTTCTATGGAATTCCTATGAGATGTCTGAGGGAAATCTATGATATTCTTATGGGATTTCTTTGTGGTACCTATACTAATTCTATGTTATATCTATGATATTTTCAGATGATTCCTCCCCTCCCCTAGCTGGGCTATCTTGGTGGCTCTATGTGGCTCTCTGGGCCATGTTATCTGCTACAGTCTCATATGTTATTCTTATATGATTTCCCCTGGGTTCTTATGGGATTTCTATGGTATGTCTACCTTGTTAGTTTATACGCCTGTCCGTTGCGTTTGCAAACACTCTTCAAAGCAAATTATCAGGACGCATCAGGTAAGCATATGAGATATCCACAGAAACAAGAAAATAGCAAGAAACAAGAACAAGAACAGAACACAAATGTAAGAAGCTCCACGACAAGAAAAAATATATCTGGGTTTGCTCTATAGGCCGTCTTGGGAGAGGTAAAGGGGGGGGGTCAGCCCAATTTTTTTTTTTTTCGTTTGTTTTCTGTGTGGCTCTTTCTTTCCTGTGAATTAGAAATATAATCAGAGTCAGATGTTCCTCAAGTCTGCTTGTTAGTGACACTACAGATTCATAAGCATGAATTCCGTAGACGTAACATTTTTCCTAACAAAGATTCATATGTAATCTGTCACGTCGTCTGTCCAGACATGTGGAAACGTGGGAACTGAGAAACGTGGGGACTGAGAAACGTGGGGACTGAGAGCGTCCCTTTCTGTATTATATTATATTATATTAAATATATTATATTGTATCATATTATACTATATTATATTAAATTATATTATGCTATATTATATTATATTTTATTTTATATAATTTATATATTACGTTATATTATATTAAATAAACTATATTATATTTTATTATATTATATTATATTATATAAAATTAAATATATTATATTAAATCATATTATATTATATTATATTATATTATATTTTAGTATATTATATTATAGTATAGTATATCATATTATATTAAATGTTATTATATTATATTATATTATAAATTACATATTATATCATATCATATTACATTATATAAATACATATTTTATGTTATGTAAAATATGATACATATATATATTATACACAACATTACATAACTATTTAATGTAATTATATACCCATGACATCACATTTTCTGCATTAAACAACAAGTTCATATCATACACACGGCTTTTTCCCATGCGGTTTCCGTGCCAAGGTCCAAGGACCACACGGAATCTGCTCAAAGTGCTTCACCAGCTGCCGCAACTTTGACCTTGGCTTGGGCAGGTGTCGTTTTGTTGGTTGAATCGGTTGAAACTTTTGCGGTTGATGTGAAGCAGACCCTTGGTGCTTTATTGGTCTCCTGATATATGCATATCTGATGTATAATATGTGTAAAATATATTTGTATAATTTTAAATATTATACCGTTAAAATGAAAGTTAGAATGCCTCCGCGAATTCCAAATATTCCTCCCCCTCAGTTAGAATGCGGCCCGCGCACGGCAAAAAATCCTTCAGTTAGAATGCCTCCCCACCCGGGTTTTAAGTATTTTTGTTTTTGGAGAACCCTTTACACAAATCCCTCACTTAGAATGCCTCCGCACTATGAATATCACCAGATGTTAGAATGCAGTTAGAATGCTTCCCCCTTGAACTTGCTTTCTACCAGCATTTCAGCAATTAGAACGCTTCCCCCTTGAAATTGCTTTGCCAGCATTTCAGCAATTAGAATGTTTCCCCCTTGACATGGCTTTTTACCAGCATTTCATCAGTTAGAACGCTTCCCCCTTGAAGTTGCTTTTACACAAGCATTTCAGCAGTTAGAATGTTTCTCCCTTGAAATGGCTTTTCTGCCAGCATTTCAGCAATTAGAATGCTTTTCTTGAAATTGTTTTTTACCAGTATTTCAGCAGTTCGAATGCTTCCCCCCTTGAATAGCTTTTTACCAGCATTTCATCAGTTAGAATGCTTCCCACTTGGAAATTGTTTTTTACCAGCATTTCATCAGTTAGAATGCTTCCCCCTTGATTTTTTTTCAACCAGCTTTTCAGCAGTTAGAATGTTTCCCCGTTGAAATTGCTTTTACACAAGCATTTCAGCAGTTAGAATGTTTCCCCCTTGAAATTGCTTTCTACCAGCATTTCAGCAATTAGAACGCTTCCCCCTTGAAATTGCTTTCTACCAGCATTTCAGCAATTAGAACGCTTCCCCCTTGAAATGGCTTTTGCCAGCATTTCAGCAGTTAGAATGCTTCCCAGCATTTCAGCAGTTAGAATGCTTCCCCCTTGAAGTTGCTTTTTACACAAGCATTTCATCAGTTAGAATGCTTCCCCCTTGAAATTGTTTTTTACCAGCTTTTCAGCAGTTAGAATGCTTCCGCGTTAAATTGTTTTTTACGAGCATTTCTGCAGTTAGAATGTTTCTCCCTTGAAATTGTTTTTCTACCAGCACTTCAGCAATTAGAATGTTTTTCTTGAAATTATTTTTTACCAGTATTTCAGCAGTTAGAATGCTTCCCCCCTTGAATAGCTTTTTACCAGCATTTCATCAGTTAGAATGCTTCCCCCTTGAAACGGTTTTCTACCAGTTTTTCAGCAGTTAGATTGCTTTCCCTTTGAAATTGTTTTTTACAAGCATTTCAGCAGTTAGGATGCTTCACCCTTCAAATTGCTTTCTACCAGCATTTCAGCAATTAGAACGCTTCCCCCTTGAAATTGCTTTTGCCAGCATTTCAGCAGTTAGAATGCTTCCCAGCATTTCAGCAGTTGGAATGCTTCCCCCTTGAAGTTGCTTTTTACGCAAGCATTTCATCAGTTAGAATGCTTCCCCCTTGAAATTGTTCTTTACCAGCATTTCAGCAGTTAGAATGTTTCCCCCTTGAAATTGTTTTTTACCAGTTTTTCAGCAGTTAGAATGCCTCCGCGTTAAATTGTTTTTTACCAGCATTTCAGCAGTTAGAATGCTTTCCCCCTTGAAAAGTTTTTTTACCAGGATTTCATCAGTTAGAATGCGTCCCCCTTGAAATTGTTTTCACCAACTTTTAAGCAGTTAGAATGTTTCTCCCTTGAAATTGTTTTTCTACCAGCATTTCAGCAATTAGAGTGCTTCCCCCTTGATTTTTTTTTTTTTACCAGCCTTTCAGCAGTTTGAATGCTTCCCCCTTCAAGTTGTTTTTTACACAAACATTCAGCAGTTGGAATGCTTCCCCCTTGAAATTGTCTTCTACCAGCATTTCCGCAAATAGAACGGTTCCCTTTGAAATTGTTTTTACCAGCATTTCAACAGTTAGAATGCTTTCCCCTTCAAGTTGTACAGATATGTGCAAAAACGCGTGTGTAAATAATATTTATATATATA